TCTTCTTCTTCTTCTTCTTCTTCTTCTTCTTCTTCTTCTTCTTCTTCCTCCTCTTCTTCCTCTTCCTCTTCTCCTCCTCCTCCTCCTCCTCCTCCTCCTCCTCCCCCCCCTTCCCCTCCTCCAAACCCTTCTCCCATCTAGCACTGATGTTACCTACTTTGATCATGAAACATCTGCAAGAAGTCAATCAAGCTCAGAGGGCACCAAGGACCCACCTTCCCACTCCCCCCACCACCACAAGCCCCACTCCCTTCCAGCACTGATGATATTACCTAGTTGGGTAATGAAACTTCTGCAAGAAAACAACCAAACTCAGAGAGCACCAAGGACAATCCAGTGAGCACCCCACAAGCTTCCTCCTCCTCCTCCTCCTCCTCCTCCCCTTACTCCCATCTAGCACAGATGAAGTTACCTACTTGGGTCACGAAACACTGCAAGAAAGAGGACTTCTGCAAGAAGTCAGCCAAGCTCAGGGTGCGCCAAGGACCCCTCATTTCAACCCCGAGCTGCAAATATTCTCCTTTAGACCCCTCTCTCTCCTCCTGATCAACCGCCAGAATTTCAGCAATGGGCTGGGGAGTTGGAATCCATGCATTATGGATCCCAGGATTCCAATCTGCCAAAGTCAGCAGTAACGCTCCGGAAGTAGCTTAGGGCCTAACAGGAATGCATTGATTTGGGCTTGATGTTGTCCTTGTTTTCCCTTCCTTAGATGGGCTCCATCCTCAGATGGGCCCTAACGCTCAGCTGTCCTTAGGAACCGCCGACACATCTCCGCCACTCCCCGACGCGACTCTTCCTCCTTCCGGCCCGTCCCCAATGGACCTTGAAAACTCTGCTGACAGCAGCACCCTCCTTGTCCTACCAGACACTCCTTTAAGTGAAAGCACGCTCTCGGAGAGCCTGGCTGGCAACCACCACAGCCACTGCTCTCTGAATACCATTGTATAAAACAACAAAAAAAGCAAAAATTGGAACACAATCAGAACAAGAGACACCCCTCCCCCCCATTAACTGCCAGTCAGCAATAAACGCCAAGTCAGCTGCTCGCGCAGCCCGACGTACGAGGGGAATGCTGAATTCACGGACTAAAGTTCAGAAATAAAAACTCCCATGTCTGGCCTTTTTCAGATTCTCCTTTTGGGTTTAGACTTGGCCTGGGCAGTCATGTTCCATTCTTAACCTTACTCTCTTCAGAAGAAGAAGAAGAACAAGAAGAAGAACCAAGTTATAAAGATGGCTGTTCGTTTGTTTCCTTTTTTTTTTTTTCTACTGGCAATGGGGGAAAAAAAGAACAGAAGATGTCCAGTTTTTAATTTCTTTTTTCTTTTTTTTAAAGTGGAGGAAAATTATGGATAGATTTTTGGAGGGCGAGGGGGGGAAAGGGAACATCCATCTCACCCCCCCCTCCTATAAAATCATGGAGAAGAAAGAGCAAGCGGTGTAGAAAACGCCCGGAATGCCAGGGCGTTAGCATCTTCCAGGAACAGCGCAGCTGGTCAGTGTTGATTCTCCTGCTTGACCAGTCATTGGTTATAATCTGCAAATACAGAAGACTAGATGTTGGGGGTTGTTGGGTATTTCTGATCAGCGCACAGGACCATCATCCTTTGAAATATGGATCCAAGGAGAAAGAGACAGGCAAATGGGCCCACAAAGTCTTCATCATCCAGTCCTGGTTTCGAAGAAGAACTACATGAGTTGGCCAAACGCTTGTTTGTTGTCCTAGAAGTAAGCAGTAAGGTTCAAATCGATCCGGTTCCTTCACCGTAACGCATTGTAATATTCAACTGGGTCATTTCAGCTCAGTGACTTGTATATGGCATTCTTCTCTTGACTTTTTTCTCTATTATAAATTTGGGGTGTTGAGTTTTTCGGGACTGAGTTTGGTGTTGGGATAATAGAATTTCCAAGCGGGGAAAAAAAAAATGTGATCGGACCAATCAGTTCACCTTTAATTTTTCTCTTATCGCTGTTCATTTTGCTTTTCATTCTCAATCGTTAAGATTTCTGAGCTTTCTTTATCCTGCAGGATTCATTCGACGCCTTATAACAGGAGACAAGCAAGGAAAAGAATTTTGGGGTAGGAAAAAAAGAGTTGTACAGAGACTCGGCCTCACAAACCTTAGCGAAAGTTGTCCCGTGGATCCTCTTGACGTATATGGAGGTTGGAATTGGGACCTGTTTGGAGATGGGCCAAGGTGGATACCCCCGGTCGTAGTCCAGCTTGAATCTCTGAGAAGGACATCTAGAACGTAGAAGGATCTGTCCCCTAATGCTTCCATTCAATTTTCCTACCGAGAGATCTTGGTGAGAACTTGTAGACGTTGAGTTGATTGCAACGTGTAGCCAAGCTGATCTCGATCCACCGCTGGCCTCTTGCCTCCTGAGTAAGCATGCCCAGGTTTAGTTAGCAGAAACTTAGCAGTCCTTCGTTGGTGTGTTCCTGTTGCCTTATGAAAGGTAGGAGGCCTAGAAGGACAGGAGAAACCCAACCCATGGTTCAGGACTTAAATGTATCAGGGTGCCTTCTCATTTCAACCCTTTTCTCATTCTTCTTCTGCATTTCTTATCTACCCCAGTGTAATATTGATGGCAGGGTTAGCTTTTGGGCCATTTTAGGAGAGAGAGTTCTAACCTGGCCAATAAAACTCCAGGTTTCCTTGCGGAAGACCGCAGATTTAATCTTCCACATGTCCAGGGATCACTTGGGAAGACTCCAGCCTGAAAGGATGGTCTCCCGTGGGTGTAGACTTCAGAGACCCTGAAGTGGCTCAGTAGAAAGGAAACCGAGTTGTACTTAACATTGGTTGGCGAAAATGTGCTTGCAAACAATCACAAATCAACTAGAATCTCATTTTACGGTACCGCAATCACGCTGCTAGGCCGTTGCATCCAGACAATGCTTTCCCTTGGAAGCTGTGATAGATGACAGCTGAGGTAGAACTCCACAATTCTGCTTTGCTGACCTCTTAGATCTTGCCCCACAAGATTGGAAGTCTGGTTCCCACCCCCCCACCCCCCAAAAAAGGGAGGGGGGGTTCTCACTGACCTCGGAGGCACTAAGCGACGTCTGAGTGACAGACAACAATTTTGCCCAGAGCGAGAAACTTGTATCTCTCTTTGGACGAGCGTGGAAACGGCTACAGGGCCCTGGAGGGAAACCAACCTTGAGGATTTCCCCATTCTTCCTTTCTTGCCTCCTAGCTGTGCCAGCCTGGTACAAAGCAACGTTTTCTCTCTCTCCTTCCCAAAGCCTGGGGTCAGAATTGTGGATCCAGGGCAGGTACTGAGCGTTTCTGAAGTCTGGGGCGGGGAGGGGAGGGGGAAAGAAAAGGAATAAAAAGCGGGTTATGTGCGTTTTTAGCACACTCATCAGTTTTATACATTGTAGGTACTGACTTTCTTTCTTTGGTTTTTTAGTGTGAATGGGCTTGGGTGATTGAGCGTTTATGACAAATGTTTTTCAACCTCGGCAGCCGGTGAGGACTTCAACTCCCAGAATTCCCCAAGCTGGAGTTGAAGGTCCTCCCTTCTTAAAAGTCGCCAAGAGGGAGAAACACTGGTTTATGATTGTGAGCGAAGCACAAGAGCGACACGGGATCGGAAGCTGTTGGCCAAACTACATGTCCATGTAAAAAGAGAAGAATTTGGAAGGGGAAAAATATAGGCAAATACGGAACTAGGGGTACTGTTGTGTTTTGAAATGGCAAAGCTTTCCTTTTTAACATAGATCTATAAAAAAAAATCTTTTCCCTAAAATCAGTTATGCACCAGGTTATTCTTGGGTTCACTGTCACTTCCTCACCACTTCAATGCGAGTTTCAGCAGCTCCCTTAAAGTTCCCATGTGGAAATAAAACTTTAAAATGCTTACTGCACCCTCCCACAAGGATGGTTGGGGTGTGGTTCACAACCACCCTCGCTCTATTGGCCGAAGCTCATTTGTGGCCATAGCTTGCCATTTCTTAACCCTAAAACAAAATTTAAAAGCTTTTCCATCTCAACAAATTTGACAAAACATCCTTTGGTATTTGATGTCAGCTTCATTAGAGAAGACAATTCTAAGTGGGTGTAATTTTGGGTTTCTTATTTCGCCCCCTGCTTTTAACTGAGAGCATATAGCAGTTTAGAGGTCAAGATTCTCCATTCTGGTTTGGCCTGAATGTATCTTTTTTTTTTTTTTGAAAAGCATTGCTGCATTGAATCTAAGTCTTATTTGTTTGCACCCTCAAATGGGTCAGATGTCCTAATAAACAAGAGATAAGATTACAGTACGGAAGTTGGAGACCTGTGATTAAAAGTCCACCATTCATTTCAACTAGACTGGTACAGATGGAGAAGAAGTAGGATGCATTGTCCAACTTCTGAGGAACGGGAGAACTGGACTAAATTTCATTTCAACCAGGCTGATACTGGTGGAGAAAAGGTGGATGGATTGTCCAACTTCCAAGCATCAAGAAAAGTGAACTAAATCGGTACTATTCGATGAGAAACCACTGTTTGCCCGTTCAATCTCTCCACCATTCATTATTTTGATTCCCCCTGCCTCAAAAAAAAAATCAAAGAGCTTGTTGAAACCAAAAATCCCTTCTTGCTTTAAGGCTGTAACGGGAAAGGTAGACTTGGGAAAAACCTGGAGTCAACCCATGTGGGGGTTCAAACGATAAGGGAGCTCTACAGATTTGGACTCCAGGCCCATTCGGATGCGGCCAGCTCTTTTCTAGCGCCATCATGCAACGGGGATGCTCGGCTTTCGTACGCTTGGGAAGGGCAGTGGGTGTGCGCGCGTGAGCAAGTGTGCCAATCAGTGAATCACTGCTTTTTATTTTCTTTTTGGGAAGATTTTTTTTTTTCCGGCTGAATTTGCCAGTCTTGTGCTGTCGGTTTGTGGCTGAATTGAATTGTGGCATGTGTGTACCAAAAAAAAAAAAAAAGAGGGGGAGAAAAATAAATTAAGATTTTGATATTTCATGGAACGGGATGCAGAAATGAAATTTGATACTGTAATAAGTTGGTCCCTGTGACATTTTTATGTTCTAATATTTTGATTCCCACCCTCCCAGGTTTTTATTTTGGGGAAGGGGTGGAGAAGGGTAGGGGTTTTGCGGGGACACTAATCTTTTTTCTTTCCCCAAGATGCTGTGAGAGACATTCCATCTAGATGCCAAATAAATTATGTTTTGTTGAGATGAATCTACCTTCAACTTTTCTGTGTGTTTATTCTTAAGGGAAGAAGGTGAACGCTCACCAGTTCTAATGGCTCTCAAAAGGAGGTGCTTCAAAAGGCTTTTATGAAAAGATTATTCTGCCTGTCAGAAATTGCAGAGGTCTCTGCCAGCAGCCTTGATTTCTGTTCCAGAGTGGGCAAGAAATCTGACCCGCAATCAAGCAATTACCTAGCTTCCTCTTAATTGGAGGCGGACACAATTTTAATTGAAGTAGAATTTTTCTACCTTGGAGAGCTCCTGCAATAGCCTTGTTGTAACCGCAGAGGGCAGTGCTTTCAAATATATTCTTAAGCCACGAAGTTCTGTAAGATTTCAAAAATGTTCCCCAGAAAAGAAACATGGAAACTGAATTAAGAAAGATTGGGATTACGGAGCCGAGAGTCAGAGGTGGGAAGAAAATTAAAGGATGTAAAGGAATTTGGAATTCGACTTGAAGAATGAAATGGAGAAAGGCACAAACAGGAGGGGTTTGAAGAGAAGAGATGACATGGTTTGATGATAGAAGGAAGGGTGAGAAAGACCCTCACACAACCCCTCTCTCGATTTTGTTTCGTATGAATTGGGATGGAAAGAAATTTGGGGCAGTTTCAAGATTCTTTTAATACACTGACCACAATAAATTAAGATTCCTTCCCCTACCCCATCATAAAGCTTAGCTGAAGATATGGTCTGAACCAGTGCTGTTTATTAATTTGTATTCCATCTTTATTACTTTTACAAATAAGGCGGTGAATATATCCAACACCTTAATCCTACTTTCCCCATAACAACAACCTGTTGAGGTGGGATGGAATAGGGGAGTGACTGGCTTTTAAGTCACCTGTCTGGCTTTCGTGCCTAAGGCTGGATTAGAACTCATAGTCTCCTGGTCACTGGCCCAAAGTAACTCAGCTGGCTTACATGGTTAAGGCAGGACTAGAAAGTCACAGTCGCCTGGTTTCTTAACTGCTAGATCAAACGGACTTGTCACTAGATGGTTTTCCCATCTAATTGAATGGAAAACATTGAGGAAAAATACAGGAGGACTGGTTAATCCAGGACAGGTTAACAATGGGGATACGTGGCCCTGGGAGTAAATTTCAATCTTGGCCCAAAACAATGGCTTCAAACAAACTGAGCTTGGCTGATACCATCCTGCCTGTTTGGAAGGATCCAACGATGCTCTCACACTCAACTGTCACAGCCCTGAATTAATTGGATTTGAAGCTAGCAAGTTGGCTGTTTTTGGGCTGACAACCAACACAGCTGGTATTTTGTCTGCCGGCTCAAAATATACATTGTAAATCACTACAATACAGGCCAGTGTTTTTTTCAAACTTGGCCACTTTTAAGATGTGTGGAATTCAACTCTTGGCCCTCCCCAGCCAGCATGTTGGGAGTTTGAAGTCCATGCATTATCGGAAGCACAAGCAAACATCAAGACAACATTCCTCTACATGACCAAATTGATAGATTAAGGGATTTGGGGTGTCTCTGGAATTCTGGGAATTGAAGTCCACAAATATAAAGAGGGCACAGTTTCTCACCTCTGGTTAGTTTTGGAATTAAAAAGTATTAAAGAGGAAGAAGAATTACGATGGTCATAATTGTGGTAGATTATAGCTAAGATAGTACACGATAGTCCTAATTTTTTGTTATTTTTTCAGTAGCTTTTTATACTTTTATGGTATTAAAAATTAGTTCTATAAAGTCAAATATTCATGTAACTGGTGTTTGTGGGTTCCCTGTAGAAGATACACATGTGTGTAGGAGGAACACCAATGTTTTAAACCTCCATATGTATAGTAATTTCTACCCAGAATAACATTTATCATTTAATAGAGTCACTTCAACAGGGAGATGGACAGCCTATCTATTTAATAAATAAAAAATTAGAATTTTACCGTTGATTGAAATTTATCTGGAACCAGGAGAAATGTAAAAGATTTGCCCTTGTAAAAAAAAAAAAAACCCCGTAGGGGAAAAGGGTGAAGGAAATAAAATATATTTTTTTGGCCTGATGTTCAATATTACATCATTTGCAATGCCCTTTGCTTCAGAAGCATTCTTGCTGAAGGCATCATGACAAACATAAATTTAAGTATTCCCTGAAAACTGTCCCTTTTATGTTCTAAATCAACATTTTTCTGTCTCTTTCCAATTAAAATCTGGAATTTGTGGTTCTTGGCTGGCTTGTTGAGAGCTCATGTTGAAGGCAGTTGGCTGGTCCACAGCTTCCTTCTCCATGATTTTGTTGGCACAAAGCTCTGATGTTCTCATTTGAAAATAAGTTTAAGGGAATGGCCCATCAGTGGTTGAATCTTTTATCGATTGGACCCTTCATCCATTCTCTCTCTTCTCTTCTGTTGAATTTTCATCTCTTAAAACCTTAAGGCACTATTCCTGGCTTTACAAATAGGCCTTGAATTATGTCCACTTATGGGACGCGGTGGCTCAGTGGCTAAGGCGCTAAGCTTGTCGATCAGAAAGGTCGGCAGTTTGGCGGTTCGAATCCCTAGCACCGCATAACAGTGAGCTCCCGTTCCTGGTCCCAGCTTCTGCCAACCGAGCAGTTCGAAAGCATGTAAAAATGCAAGTAGAAAAATAGGGACCCCTTTGGTGGGAAGGTAACAGCATTCTGTGCACCTTCGGTGTTCAGTCCTGCCGGCCGCATGACCATGGAGATGTCTTCAAATAGCGCTGGCTCTTCGGCTTTGTAACGGAGATGAGCACCGCCCCCTAGAGCCAGAAACAGGTAGCATGTAGGTGCCAGGGGAACCTTTACCATTACCTTAACAAAAGAATTCTGAAGATTGTTGGGTTTCAACCACAAATCCTAATCCAGATTCAAACTCTTTTGCTTCTCCGGTTTGTCCTACGGAAGAAGCTGCTCACCCTGTTCTTTTGAGAAGGAGATTCTCCTTCCATCTATTCCTTTTTTTCTTTTTTCTTTTTTTGCAGTTGTATCATTTTTGTTATCTGTGTGACAGCCACCTCCTACCATCAGGTATGTGTGTTCTTGCTTCACCCAAGGAGCAATTCTCCCCGCCAGCAGTGCTGCAGCTGACAAAGACAGATTTCTTTCCTCGCTACCTTCGACGGCTTTCTTTCAACCCACATCTGTTGCGTTTGGCAGCAAAATTGTGGAATCTGTTGCCTGCTGTTAAGCCAACTGCTCAATTTAGCTCATTCTGAGATTCAGAAGAAGCACTTTCTGAATCGAGTTACCATTTTTAACCAAGGTCAGCTGGGAGAACTGTCAAGATCCACACGAGCGAATCAGGACAGCTTATCCATTTTGCCCTACAAACAGGGATGCCTACATCAACTTCCATCACGTCCCCATGATGTACCTTCTAGATTTTTACACCTCCTCCTAAACGCAAGCTGCGTTTGGCTTACAATTGAGTATTTTGTTTTTAAACAAATGAAGCTAAATTCAGTCGGTTTGTTTAGTAAAATGGAGGATTTGCACGATACAATAAAATTTCCTGACAGAACAATCAACCAATGGAACAGAAGTTGCCTTCGGAAGTGGTGGGAGCTTCATCACTGGAGGCTTTCAAGAAGAGACTGGACTGCCATCTGTCAGAAATGATGTAGGGTCTCCTGCTTGGGCAGGGGGTTGGACTAGATGACTTCAAGGTCCCTCCCAACTCTGTTAATCTGTTAAAATACTTCAGCAACACAGCCAACAAACCGACTCCATCCCTACAACCCATGATGCCTAAACAAACACTAGTTTCAGGTGATGATCCTTTTCACCGAACCTGCTAAAATAATGGTTGGGTTCATATGATACTTCAAACTATGAATTACCCGCCCACCCCTTGTTGCATAGATTAATTGGTCTAACCCACCAGTGTGTTGGCAACCCCCAAATCCTGGCAATACAGCAAACCATCCTATTATTAAACGTGGGCAACGATACGTTGTCTAGCTTAATGGAAAAAAGGACGAGGGATGACATGATAGAAGTGTTCCAATATATGAGGGGCTGCTCCAAAGAAGAAGGATGGGGGGGTCAACCTATTCTTCAAATTGTGAATGAGAAATACTCACCCTCTAAAGAAGGCTTTGTCTGACTTTCAGGGCAGCTGTGAAAATCTCTGATTACCATGGTTGTTGAACACAAAGATCTTTTCTGGGGGAAAGCCCAGGGAGACAGAGACTAGAAGAAACCAAACTTCCTCTATTCTCCAGATCGCTGGTACCTTCCAGATGTAGTGAAATACATTTCCCAGGACTCCTATATGCTTCCAAAAGTTAACCTCCAGGCTCCCAGAGTTAGTCAGAAGTTGGAAGGGACCTTCTAATCCAACCCCCTGCTCAAATAGAAGACCCTAGACCATTTCAGACAAATGGCTGTCCAGCCTCTTCTTGAAAGCCGCCAGCGATGGAGCTCCTACAACTTCTGATGGTAACTTCTGTTCCATTGGTTGGTTGTTTTCAACGATGAATTTTCTCCTTCGTTTTAGGTTGCTTCTCGCCTCGATTAGTTTTCAGCCCGTGTTTCTTGCCCTGCCTTCTGGTGCTTTGGAAAAATAGGTTGACTGCCAATGAAGGAAGCCAATGGCATGATTCACTTAACAACTGCAGTGATTCACTTAACAACCATGGCAAAAAGGTCATAAGATTGGGGGTGACTCACTTAACCAATGCCTTACTTAGCAGTGGAATCCCTGGTTCCAATTGTGGTTGTATATTGAG